ACCAAAGAGTACTTGCCCCAAACCTGGATTTTGGCATACCTTTTTGTTTGCTTTCCCAACCAACACCAAATTCATTCTGCAACCTCAGTTACAGAGGATCAGCTAGCAGGAGATATGAGAGAGGCCTGCTGGAGACTCTGGAGAGCTGCTAATAGCCAGAGTAACCAATACTGGGATAAATAGATAAGTAGTTTGACTACCTCCTACATATCTAGGGCTTAAAGACACATGGCAAAAAAAAAAACAAAAAACCTGAAAAGATTACTGAGGCTGCAGTCCTATACCCACTTGGCTAGAGTATGCCTCATTGCAATGGCTGGGTCTATATGTATGGCAGGTATGCATAGGATTGTATAGAGACACAGGTGATGGCTTGCAAGTTCCAAAGTAGCATTAAGATTTCCTTTTAAAATGTAATGGACAACACATCATAACTTATTAAGCAAAATGTAGGAGTGAGATGGAGCAATAACGCAGGTATATTTATTCAGTTTCCTTTCATCTGGCATTGCAATCAAGCTGGCCAAATGTGAAATTTTAGCAGCTTCTTGAAAAAAAGATCTCAGCTGACACATTTTATCATCAGCTTCAGAGAGGTTAGTCCAGGCAAAGCCAATTGTTATCAGGTGTGAATTAGCATACATTGGGTTCACTGAAAGTTGGGGAAGGTGATAAAAGTAAGGCATATTGGAAACACTCATCAAAAGACATGATTGCCATTAGGAACAGTAGGTGGATAACCACTATTGATTCCAAATGTTTAATTTGATTTGATGGATTTTACTGTAATTAACACTGGGTTTTATAAGAGCATGGTCCTTAACATTATTAAGTAGGAAGACAAATTGTGAAATTAAATCTACATTTGATTTGTAATGTTAATTTTGTAAATGTTTTATAATGTTAACAGGTTGTGCTAATGATACCTGGTTCTCATCTTATTTTCATTCTACTCCATTGACTGGATTGATTTTTCTTTCTTTCTGCATTCAGAAAGTACAATGATATTTAGGTTATATATAGATTAGATATAGATATATAGATAGATATAGATATAGATATAGATTAGATTTAGATATAGATATAGATATAGACATAAGGGACGCGGGTGGCGCTGTGGGTTAAACCACAGAGCCTAGGGCTTGCCGACCAGAAGGTTGGCAGTTTGAATCCCCGCGACGGGGTGAGCTCCCATTGCTCGGTCCTAGCAGTTCGAAAGCACGCAGTGCAAATAGATAAATAGGTACCGCTGCAGCAGGAAGGTAAACAGCGTTTCCGTGTGCTGCTCTTGTTTGCCAGAAGCGGCTTAGTCATGCTGGCCACATGACCCGGAAGCTGTACGCAGGCTCCCTCGGCCAGTAAAGCGAAATGAGCGCCGCAACCCCAGAGTCGGCCGCGACTGGACCTAACGGTTAGGGGCCTTTATATACATACATGCGAATGAAGCACATGTTGTGAGATTAATCCTCAACAGCATTTTGGAAGCATGTTTGATTGACTACAACTCCTCTTACATATTGTATGTAAATGTTACATTCAATATCTAACAGGTGTAAACTAACATTTAGTTTGCAGTGTCTTTACTCAGAAGTGACTCCAGCCAGGGGAGCAAAAGAGTGGGAAAGTTGCTGGTGGGCTCTAGAATGGCGTGAGGCTGATGAAGTTGGAGAAGAAACAGCCTGTTGACTTGGGGCTGCTGGAGGAGGATGACGAGTTCGAGGAGTTCCCAGCTGAAGACTGGGCTGGTTTAGATGAAGATGAAGATGCATGTGTGTGGGAAGACAACTGGAATGATGACAATGTGGAAGATGATTTCTCCAGTCATCTAATAGCTGAATTATAAAAACATGGCTACAAGATGGAAAGCTCATAGCTTTCAGCAATGCTGCAGCCTGGGACATAGCTGTCAACTTTTCCCTTTTCTTGCGAGGACTCCTATTCAGAATAAGGGAATTTCCCTTTAAAAAAGGGAAACGTTGACAGCTATGGCCTGGGATGGGATTGTATATTGAACAGAGAAATGTTACAGAATGCTGGCTGGAAGCAGAAATACTAGACTGCCCATTATTATACCCCCATGTGTTTTTTTGTATAAATAAAAAATTGAATATAGAAGAAGAGGGGGAAAGGAGAGACTCCAGTTGAGTTCAGTGGAACTTACTCCCAGGCAAGGTTGTAGCCTGGCAGCTACCATATTTTCAACCATTAAATTCCAACATTCACACACATGAGACCACATCTGCATATCTTTGGGTGGATTCCCCCCCCCCCCCATTGGGGTTGCTACCTTTTTTCCTGACACAGATTCTATGTCCTTAAGCGATTTAAAACAGGCAGAAAATCAGCAGCTGATGCTTCCCAGTCACTGTTTCTCAATGGTGGAGCAAAAAAATGAAGTCCATTAGGCAACCTGGGCACACAGTCTTTGGTGTGTTTTAAAAAAATATGTATGTGGGGGTTTTTATGTCAGTGTCAATTGAGTAGGTCTTTTCTGTATATTTAATGGTTTACATTGACGTGAGAGATAAGACTAGGGGACAAGGCATGTTATTTTCCTTTATTGTCTCTGATGAACTATAGTGAGATTGTTTGCAGTTGTGGAAGCGGCAGGGATGAAATATGAGGCCAAGTTAGCCATATTGATCAGTAGGCTGTTGTAGATCCCTGCTACCACTGTGCCAGTGTGCACAGTCTTTGTTGAGGGTAGTGGTGGTGGAATTAACAGTGTGGTCATTTTATACCTTCAGTTTTAATCCCATGTTGGTGCCTGAACCAGTTCACAGTCCAACTCTTACTGTGTAAGCAACACCTAGAGATCACCTGTCTTCCCAGCCACACATGGTCCAGTGGGGAAGCAGGCTGTTGGCATCTACATACAAGAATAATGTGCGGATCTCAAAGAGCATGTGAGGAGTGACATGTTTTATTTATTTATTTATTGGCATGGATTTATATCTCGCTTTTCTTCCAAGGTGGTTCCTAGGCCGTCTCCCATCCTGGCACTGACCAGACCCAGAGCTGCTCAGTTCATCTTCATGTTTATATGTAGGGCTGCCTCTGAAGATGGTTCAGAGACTTCAGCTGGTGCAGAATTCTGCAGCCAGGATGCAAGTCCATTTAAGCTGATCCTGGCCCACACTATACTGGTTGCCAATTAGGTTTTGGACCCAAATTCTCAAAATTTATGTGTGACATCTGTGGATGAAGGGCGGTATACAAATTATGATAATGATATTCTTATTATTTATATCCCGCCCATTTATTTGTTTAAATGTGCCTTCAGGACCATGACCTTGGGACCTTTGCAGTGGGTGAGATGCAGGAAAGGATGAATAATGTCTCTCATTTGTCCATTTCTTAGCCCTAGTTATTTAGATTCCAAGCAACGCAGGGTGCAAATGACTGCTCTGCATGCTATCGTGTTATTAATTTAGGCTGCAATCCAATACTTACTCACCTGGGACCCAAACCCAATTGAACTCAACAGGATTTACTTCTGAGTAGTTTAGGATTGTGCTGTAAGTGCCTTACAGAGATTAACCAATTTTATCCTTGCGGCACCCTGTGGCATAAGGGCAGAAGGAATGAAAGCATGATGGAGGCTAACAGATCTGGTACAAGAACACAATAGAAGCAAAGGGCAGGGCTGGAAACAAAGGGGATTTCTGCAACGCAGATATCTTGATTTCCTTAGTAAATAGGGTCTGCAGGATGGTCCCAGGGAGAAGGCTCATGCTCAGCTACCTTGAGGAAGCTAAGCAGGTCTAAGGTTTTCTAATGTTAGCAACATCTGTTAACTTCCTCAACACTAATGGGCCTGGTCAGTCTCTGACCAACTTGCATGCCAACTTGGGTTCTACGATGGAAGAAAGGGTGGGATATTAATGGACTAAATAAATCTGCATATATTAGGGCTGGTTTATATTTTTTATTTAAAAAAATGCCTGTTTGTTTCTACACCCAACTGAAGTTGCTCATATTAATGTCTGAAGCCCTAAATGACTTTGGCCCTACTAATGTATGGAAGTGAGAGCTGGACCGTAAAGAGGCTGATCGCCGAAGAATTTATGCTTTTGAATTCTGGTGCTGGAGGAGACTCTTGGGTGTCCCATGGACTGCAAGAAGATCAAACCTCTCCATTCTGAAGGAAATCAGCCCTGAGTGCTCACTGGAAGGACAGATCCTGAAGCTGAGGCTCCAATACTTTGGCCACCTCATGAGAAGAGAAGACTCCCTGGAAAAGACCCTGATGTTGGGAAAGATGGAGGGCACAAGAAGAAGGGGACGACAGAGGACGAGATGGTTGGACAGTGTCCTCGAAGCTACCAGCATGAGTTTGACCAAACTGCGGGAGGCAGTAGAAGGCAGGAGTGCATGGCGTGACCATGGGGTCACGAAGAGTCGGACACGACTAAATGACTAAACAACCATCTTCTTGTGTGCTAAGACTGGCAGAGCTGGCAGCTCTCTTGGTAATTCCTACACACTTGAAAGTGCAGGGAATGGTGGCCCTGGGAGAGGGCTTCCTCTGTGGCAGCCCCTAAATGCATCGAGCATCTTCACTGTACAGATTTCATACGCTGAAGATGTGTCCCTCTTTACCCTGACCTTTTGGCAGTATTTTGTTTTGTGGGACCCACCTCTCCTGTTGAGTAATACCACTCTGCTCCATTTGGAATGCTTTTATCTGTTTTTAGAATGGCATATTATATTGTTGTAGCCAGCTCTGGGACTTTATGATGAAGAGGGATTAAGTCATCTTACAAAGAAATGAAGACTGCATACGCACCACAACAACAAAGCAGCATTCATGTTCCCAATGTAATGCACAATGTGGGGATATATATGTGCCCGATTCACTTCATCGTTGGATAAAAGGTTAAAGGAAGATGGGCATCTGCGATACCACCTATGTAAACACCTGGGCCATACGTTACATCATACACGTGGCTGCATGTGTGTCTGTACAGGTCTGTTGCCCCACTACAGCAACAATCAGCTTCTGGTGGTCCTTTGAAAAAACTCTCCTGAAATAATGGCACATCAAGCACTACCACTCCAAGTGAATGAAGATGCTGCAGTAGCAGCCCTTGGTGGGTTGACCCCTCTGTGTGACACTGCCTTGCTGTAGCTTAATTAGGCGGCTATGGCTCAGTAATAGAGGATGCACTTTGTATGGTTCCCAAGGCTCCTCTTCTGGCATCAGCCTAGATTTTAAATCAAGAGCTTTTCAGGTTTCACAACCGTAGAATCATAGAATTGTTGAGTTGGAAGGGATCCTGAGAATCATCTAGTCTAACCCTCTGCAATGCAGGAATATGTAGCTGTGCAGGGATTGAACCTGGAACCTCGGCATTATCAGCAACACGCTCTAACAGTGTAGGAACACACAGCCTTTTTCTGAGTCAGACCATTAGTCCATGTAGCTGAATCTTGTATAAACTGCCTGGCAGTGTCTATCCAGGGATTGACTCTGGGGCCATAGAAAGCAGATGCTCCACTCCTGAACCCTTGGGTCTGCTGGGATAGCTCAGTCGGTAGAGCATGAGACTCTTAATTTCAGGGTGGGGGGTTCGAGCCCCAGGTTGGGCAAAAGATCCCTGCATTGCAGGGGGTTGGACTAGATTACCCCTGTCCCTCCCAATTCTACAATTCACTACAAGTCTCCTAATGAACCTCAAGCATCTATCTATCATCTATCTATCTATCTATCTATCATCTATCTATCTATCTATCTAAAGGCAGCCCTGTATAGGGAAGCTTTTTAAGGTTTTATTATGTTATTGTGTATTGTTGTTGTTGTTGTTGTTGTTGGTATTACCACCTGTATTATATTACCGAAGCTGCATCCCATTAATTAGGTCCTCTTTTCAAACAGGCCAGCAAAGCCAAATAAACTGCTTCCCGGGCTTAGCCTCCCGCTTCACCCCGATGTGAGGTTTTCTTCATTTCGGTGCAACGCTAATTCCTGAGACCTGCCAGAGCCTGACCTTGCCCCGGTAAAGCCCTCATTGGGAAACTAATTAACGGAATAATGCTAAAGAAGCAGCAGAAGCAGGATCCGCTCTTGTTTCTCCCCATCAGGATGTTAAAAAAGCAGAGTACTTCTAATTAGCAATAATTAAAAATTAATTAAGAAGCTCTCTGCAATCCCCTTTCCCCCGCCCGCCTGGCAGCGCGGGGTTGCGGGAGCTGTTCACGTCCCTGTGGTGCTGAATCACGGCTTAATCACAAAGCCTTAGATCACGGCTAATCCAAGAAGGCAACCGTGTATACGCGGCGCGCTAATCATCTCAGCCCTCCGACGGAGACAAGCATCTACCCGGGCCATTAGGAAGCCGGGCCAATTAGTACGTTTAAAGCACATAAAACGTATAGATTGCAATCCCTCCTTACTGATTGGCTGATTACAGATGTAATTGCTTTATTGTTTATCCTGGCAATGGCTTCCGTCATACTGAGGGATAACAGCATTAGGAGGTTTCAAAAAGAATACTAATTACTTAAGACCAAATTGTCAAGTTTCAGGTCTTAGAGGCAAACAGGGGGTTTAGGGTTACTTCGTATGTTATTTGCCCCACTCACTCCCAATCTTCTTGTAGGAAAACGCGACTGTCCTATTGGAGGGATAGGCATGCTGTATCTTCCTCTCTCTGCTGCAACAAGTTTTGGCTTCCAAGCTGTGTATTCACGGAGGGGAAAAAATAACCACATAGCACTTCAAAGGGAAAAAAGTGACAGATTACTGAATGTCAAATAATCAGTATATGCAAGGAAAGACCTCGCTGAACACCACCTTTTAAAAAACACTAACAATAAAAAAGAAATGTCCTGAAACAAAAAGGATGTATCAGACACATTTTTTTATTTAAA